TTCGTCACAGTAGATACCCCAGTCTGAAAATAGTCCTGAAGAAATCATAATGGACTCGAAACGTTAACGCTGTTTCTCTCTGACCACAGATGCTGCCAGACCTGCCGTGTTTCTTCGGCATTCTCTGTTTGTTTCAGATTTCCAGCATCTGCAGTATTTTCCCTATGCCGTTGAAAACAGATCCGAACTGGCCGGCAATAGTTCACAGCCGTGAAATGATTTGTTGATTTTGTTTCTGAATTTCTAATTTCGCAATTTTATCGGTGACCTCTGCGAGAGGAATTGACTGTTTTTGCAGCCCTTTGCAGTGCCTCGGGTGGTTGTTTGCAATTGCGCCTGAACTCTGACTGGCATCGCTTGTTTATATTGTTAGGCAGTCCAGATGTGAAGGCACAGTTATTTGCTTTATCCGAGCTGACCAGTTAGAGAAACTAGTTCTGATTGTTTTTACAACCTGCGCTCTTATGTTTTGATAACATTTCAGGACTCAACACGAACAGTCCCAGATTCAACTTGTCAGCTGTGACTGCCCTTTAGTATCTGAAAGAGATCCAGCAGCAACAGCGGAACCTTAAAGCAGGTATCGATAATCCAAATCTAAATCAGACACAAATACCTGAGCTCGGGCAATCGCCTAAAACGATCGAACATAAAACAGTGGCTGGACATTAGGTTAAGTTTTGTAAATGGGAAATATATTTGGAATTCGTATTTTTTCAGAACACCATTCCTCATCGACCAATCAGCACCAAAACTAAACGAAACGTCTGTATTTACATTAAAGTATTGTATGGGGAGAATGTAATGCTGCCACGATACACTTAGGAACCTCGGATCAATAACGATGGCATTGGTCTTATTTCTAACGGGTGATGGGAGAGTTAACTACCAATCTCCAATCCGTCTTCAGTGAGTTTGCAGCGATAGATATGACTGAAAAAGCGGGATCACTAAAGGGAACACCGCGGCTGCCTTTGTTAGGGCGATGCTCCCATCCCTTTTAACACAAAAAAAAACTTTTCGATTTAAAAACAAAAACTCCTCGAACTTATTTCATTAAACTTCTGTTAGCACAACTGGGAATTTCCTGCATCACACTTACAATTATGGATTAGTCCTCTTGAAGGGTTAGTATTTATAAAATAAAAATTGGACATTTTGAACATGTTGATAGGCCCCCACAGTCATTTTAAAGATGTTTAACAAGATCGGCCACAGCCATCTGCAAGGTTACATCTGGTTTGTGTTGTTACATAGCTGGCGTTTCCCTGCAGATCGATCAACAGTGGATAGCTAAGTTCATATTCAGAAGGTAGTCAATTCCAATACTTAATAGAGTTTCAGAAGGAGTCGAGCAACGTACATTCAATGTAGATAAACGAACGCGTCTTTCTCAGGAGATGGGTTACAGTTTTCCTAACCTGTATTGGTCACATTTTATTTTACACAGTGTATGTTCTCGTACTTAAGAGTAAAAGCGTAAGTGAAACAGACTATTATCGGGGTTTCGGGCGAACTTTTTTTTAAAAAAATGCACCAATTCCTTTCGTTTATCTGCGTGTGTCGTACGGTATTATCGTGTCATACAAACATTGCTTCGCCTTGTTGATATAGGAAACGCCTTAACTTTCTGTATAAGAGATGCTGGAACCCAGCTTTGTGTTGCTTGTTTAATTCGTGTTGACACTTTGTGTGTGTACAATGTCCAGGTGAGTACGGAAATCCCAGCGGAACAGTGCAGCAACTTTGACCCGGGACCAGGTACCACCCGGAGCGGCTTGACCTGCTCAAGCAAAGAGAGCTCTTGCTGCCAATGGACATCAAAGAGGTCTGTTAAAGCAGAGGAATGGCGGTGATTCTCCCCCTAAACAACGAGATCTCTCCCCTCAACTCCGAAAAAGAGGTGTCGGAGCCCATTAAAGATGAGGATTACAAGGAGAATGGCGTGCTGATTAAGAACTCCATTTCCGGCCACAAGCTTTCCGAAGACGGCGATAAGTCACCCTCCGGCAGCTTGGAGAAAGGGGACGCGGGCTGTATGTTCAATGGGTACTCGGCTGTGCAGAGCCCAGGGGGACGGAGCAGCCCCGGCGATGGAGATCGAGCTGCTCCCCTGGCCTCACTGCCGCTGCAGGAGATCGACAAGGCGCCGGCTATAGCCCGGGAAACCTGGAGCAAAAAAGCAGACTTCTTATTCTCGGTCATCGGGTACGCGGTGGACCTGGGCAATGTCTGGCGTTTCCCTTACATCGCGTACCAGAACGGGGGCGGTAAGTGCTCGAATAATAACACCAGGAATTGCTGGAAAAAAAGGTCTCAGCAGGTCTGTGGAGAGGAATCCGAGTTAACGTTTCGGGTCCACTGACCCTTCCTCAGAAGTCGATCTTGGCCAAGCTTTGAAATCATTTTACACTCGATTCTCGGAGTGAGAGAACCGACGGAAATCCAGCAACTGTTGGTTGGTTCCACTCCTCCTGCTATTCCCCCACCCCAAACCTGTTACATTTGTCACTGGATGAAAGGAGGATGGGGGTGACCTTATAGAGGCTTATAAAATCATGAGGGATAGAGCTAAGGTGAATGGCAGGTGTCTTTTCCTTAGGGTGGGGAATTTCAAGACCAGGGGCATATTTTTAAGGTGAGAGGAGAAAGATTTAAAAAGGACTGGAGGGGCATTTTTGTTTTACACAGAGAGTCGTTTGTGTGTGGACTGAACTTGTGGTGGATGCTGCTACAGTTACAACGTTTAAAATGTATTTGTAAAAGTTCATGAATAGGAAAGGCTTTGAAGGATCAGGGCAGGCAGGTGGGACTAGTTTAGTCTGGCATTATGGTTGGTATGGATTGGTTGGACTGAAGGGTCTGTTTCTGTGCTGTATGACTCTATAACTCTAAGTATTTATTTTGAAAGTTACTATTAAATCTGTTTCCATAATCCAGTAAACAGTACGTTCACAACGTCCTTCAAAAATGATTCTCCTCATCATACCTAGTGTTCTTTTGCCAATTATCTTCAATCCGTGCCTTGTGGTTACTGTTTGTCATGTATGCCACTGGAAAACCCTAACCCTAATCCTCGGCTATATCCTTCAGCTACATTTCCTTCCCTGTCCAATCCCTGGGGTGACATTGTAGCTCAATGGATGGCACTGTTGCCTCACAGTGCCAGGGACCTAGGTTCAGTTCTACCCTCAGGTGAAGGTTTGTGTGGAGTTTGCACATTCTCCCTGTCTCTGTGTAGGTTTCCTCCCTCAGTCTAAAGATCACAGAAATCATCATAATTGAATCCCTACAGTGTGGAAACAGGCCCTTCGGCCCAACCAGTCCACACCGACACTCAGAGCATTCCACCCAGACCCATTCCCCCAGAACCCACCTAACCTGCACATCCCTGAACACATTTAGCATGGCCAATCCACCTAGCATGCACATCTTTGGAGTGTGGGAGGAAACAAGAGCACCCAGAGGAAACCCACGCAGACAAGGGGAGAATGTGCAAACCCCACACAGACAGTTGCCCAAGGGTGGGATCAAAGCCGGGTTCCTGGCGCTGTGAGGCAGCAGTGCTAACCACTGTGCCACCATGCTGTGTGTAGGTTAGGTGGATTTGTTGTGCTAAATTGCCCGCAGTGTCCAGGGATGTGCAGGAGAGGTGGATTAGCCTTGGGAAATGCAGAGTTATAGGGTTGGGGGTGAGTCTGGGTAAGATGCTGTTCGGTGGCCATTGAATAGCTGAATAGCTTGCTTCCACACTGTAGGGATTCTATGATTCTCTAACGTTTTCAACAATCTTGTGTTGCTTGGCACTTGTGGAAAGGGGAATTTGTAAAAATAAGAGCAGTTAGCCCTTTCAAACAAGCTCCAGGGCTTTCAAAAAAAGCTTCAGACTCAAGCTATCTGAAGAAGGTTCACTGGATGCGAAATGTTAACTCTGATTTTTGTCTATAGATGCTACCAGACCTGCTGAGCTTTTCCAGCAATTTCTGTTTTTGTTTCTGATTTCCAGCATCCACAGTTCTTCTGTTTCTTTGCAAACGTTCATCTTTAGATTTCCATAATGTTTGTGAAATGGTAACTAGATTAAACATTATTTTCTTGTCAAAAGTCTCTCCCTAATCATTACTGTGAATACACAGTTCTGATTTTTTGCTACAATAATTAACCTACATTATCCAGCAACTTTGATCTGCCTTCTGCTTCCCAAATGAATGCTACAGCTTAGTATTTAGCAAAATTAATACATCTATAAATATTATTTAAACAAAAGTGCATGGTATTTTGTGGAATCATTCCCACATCAGAACTAGCTAATCAGCCAGCAACTTTTCCATAATAAATGGTTATATGAATAAATAATATTTATCCCTTAATGATAGAAATCTTTCCCACTCCTGTTGTCAATAAATGTTGGTGATATTATCTTACAGTGGGAATTCTAGATTAATTTTAGCAGGTCAACTTATATAGTGTTCACTTAACTTGTTCCACTGTGTAGAAAGTCATCATCATGTTCTAAGAATGACCAGTCTGCCAAAGCTGCTTCAGTGAGTGGGTAGGTCAGTATACTGCCCTACATGGTGCTGAACCAGACCACAAAGGTTCAAGGCCCATTTTACATCTGTTTAAAGTTAACCTATCTCTGCAGGGGTCACCCAAATTTTGATTTCCTTTCCCAAGCTGGAGAAGCAGAGAAAAGATATCTTGTCCAAACTATTAATTATTAACCAGTGATTCCTGTTTAGGATGTGAGAAGGTCAGCCTTGGTAATGACGATGTTCCTTTATCTCTCATCCTCTCAGTAACAGCATGTTTATACCCATATTTTTAGCTCTTATTAAAACTGGTCATCTGTGTGAGTTTCTGGGGAAATTCCAGCGTCCATGGAGCTGTACCCCAGCGACAATTGACAGTAGTAGAGAGAAAAAGGAAATACATGCAGAATTTGTTGTTATGGAGCCAGTTTGCTGCTGCTGTCCCATTTGGGGGAAAAAAAAGAAACCCCAGTGCATTTTGTAAGGGCTCTATATAAATACAACTTGTGATGACCTGTGTGTTTTGAAACATACATATTATCATTAACCTTGATTAAACACACCACTTGGCAGGGACTGCTATGTTTGAATCATGACCATGCTGGGGATTAAATATTGCACAAGGCAAGGGTAGAAAGATCAAAACATTACATTGAAAACCATTTAAATCATCCTGTCGGTCACTTACATGTCATAAAATGGAAATACTAAATAAGACATTTCACTCAAATTGACCAGACTACTAAATAGACAATTTCATTGATGAAATTTAGCAATGGATTAATTACAACTGGCTTAGCAGTGAATTCAGACATCATATTTCTTTCAACAATTGTAATTCATATTTGGATCATATGTAGCAAAAGGGATTTCAGTTTTATATCGCAAAACTAGCCTGGACTCTAATAATCAATGTGACAATATATTACAGACAGGTTACAAAATGAAAAATAAATGATGGAAGTAGTACTGATGATAAGTGTAATTTGCATCTCTGGCACCACAAATTATGTGACTATTATGTAATTTTTCCACATATCACTTTTAAAAAGAAAGTAACAAGCCAGGAAAACTGAAATCTTCATACAAGGAATATATTTCTTTTATCTCACCTGCTGCTGTAGAATCTAATTAATGATCAAACATAGCCAATATTTCAATTAAATGATGCTTATCATAGAATCATAGTGCACAGACTGAAGCCATTTGGCCCCTTATGCCTGTCCAGCCCCTTGACAGTGTTAACCAATTATCTCAACTTTCCTGCTCTTTCCACACAGTGCTGCAAATTTTTAATTACATATTCACTGCCCTTTCAAACATTGAACCTGTACCCACCACTCTTTCAACAGATCATGATAACCCACTACTTAAATACATTTTCATCTCCTCTCTGATTATTTTGCCAATTAATTTGAATCAATGTATTCTGGTTACCAATCCTTCTGCCGGTAGGAACAGGGTATACTTGACAATTATTAATTTTGGTTACATTTGTTTCCCATTCCCTGCAGGCGTGTCTGGATGTTTAAGCCATTATATTATTGACCGTCTGAATTGAGTCATGTGGAGAATATCACACCTCCTTTCACACAGGGTATTTCTGAATCCTATTCATTCTCTGTCAGAATATGTAATCAAATAATTCACATCGGAAACAACATCTCACTAGGCACCAATATGTAAGATGATTACCTCTTGAATCTTACATTTGGACCTTTTAGACCATGATATCAATAAATAATTTGAACAGTTGTTGGGTGAAGCAAATTATTTTGAGAATTGTTACACTTTTCCTTGTTGTTACAAGGAGCTGAGCTTTGATTAGGATTAACAAGGTGTTGAGCTTTGATTGTATTCTAGAATTAGGTTTATTAGATGTTGTCTCAAGGATTCCAAAATGTAACTGTGTTCCTCAGGTATTTGCAATCAGTCATTGATGGTAGGAAGCATTTCCAACACTTCCCTTCTGCCTACAATCATCACAGATTTGTTTCAGGGAGGCATCTACTGGCAGCCAGACATTAGTTCTACAAAAAGCTGGTAATTAAATAGAATAATAGTGTATTAAATATGGACTTCTATTAAAAATATAATTTATTGGAAAGATACCCTGAAACCCATGTGATCTGAAATTATATCTGTACTGTAAATATTATCATGCTGAGTCTTTACCCAGAGTGGTGAGCCTGTGGAACTCTGCTACAGAAAGTGATTGAGGCCAAAATACTGAGTGTTTTCTAGAAGGAGCAAGGTGTATTCTTGGGCGAAAAAGATCAAAGGGCATGGGGAGAATACAGGAACAAGATAGTGAGTTGGATGATTGGCCATGATCATATTGAATGATGGAGCAGACTGGAGGGGCCAAATGGCCTACTCCTGCTCTTTTATATTCTGCATTACCACATTTCAATAATTATGGTTACTATGATCAAATACGCAACCAAGATGTAAAATAACTTGAATGATGTGTAACAAAAAGAGGAGATTCAGTTGCTTGGGCTGATTAACACATTTGAATATTACACAATAGTTGTCATTAAATTGGCAGAAGGCATCTTTCAGGCAAGAATGGTACATATACTTCCTTTTGTGAATGAAATATCAAGAAATATCAAGAAAACCAAATCAAGATAATCTCACTGATTTTTTGCTAATTTGGATAGGATGCAGGCGTATTACTGCCTTAAAATGAGTTTCACACTGAAGTTCACATTTCCAAGCCTATTAAGATCAAACATCCTTTTCCTTATTGGTGATTTTATTTGTTCATTGTCTTTCCTCCATTATCTATTCTGATTGCAAATCTAATCAAGCTTTTTTCTTTCATTGCTACCAGCAGTTGTAGCTTAAACTTGGGTTCTCTATTTTGAAGCTTTGTGCTTCGCTGTAAAAAACACTTCTAGTATTATAAACTGAATTCGAGTTCTCTGACAGCCATACTGGGTCTTGGGCTCATGTTCATTGACTTACTCATCAAGGATTCTGAATTATTGACCTCTGAATATGTACTTGTCCTAACAAACATCTGAACTTAAAAAGATTTGCTAAAATTTGATAGCTATCTAATTTGCACAGGTCATTAACACATAATCCAGAAGTCAGGGTTAAAATCATCACATTCTGGAGTTTATTCATTGTCTTTGTAATGCTTATGGTGTCTTTACACTTTGTAAATTCCAGGAGCCTTTCTCATCCCCTATCTCCTGATGGCTGTGTTTGGAGGCATCCCACTCTTTTATATGGAGTTGGCGTTGGGACAGTATCACAAAAATGGAGCAATTTCTATATGGAGGAAAATATGCCCAATTTTCAAAGGTAAGGCCAACTTTCTTACTGGCACTGAAGAATGATTCATACTTGCTTCAACCTTTTTCCTTTTCATAGGTGTCATTTTAAGCGAAATGTAGCTTGAATAATAGTTCGTGAATTAATTTTGAGAACTGTGGATTTTTGTTTAATTAATTCGTAGGATATGGGCATAATTTGCTAAGCCAACATTTATTGCCCATCCCTAATTGCCCTTGAGAAGGTGGTGGTGAGCTGCGTTCTTGAACCATTGCAGTGTTGGTATGTGGGTATGAAATAACCTGACTGGAAAGGAACATTGTTTATTGTTGAACACCAAAATACCGATGGCATACGTAGGATAGTCTCCGACCAAGACAGACAGCATTGCTGACCTGCTTTAATTTTATTTATATCGAAAATAAATAAACAACTTAACTTTTTTTTGCCATCACTGAATGACCATTTTTTTTTTCCTTCAATTGACAACCACCAGTAAATTACCGTGTTTCCAATGGAATACTTTAAGTGCAAAACCAGTTATAGACAATGCAAACTATCAGCAGTAAGAGAGGGGCAGGCCTGCTTTAATTTATATTTTCTAATCAACCTGTTCAGAGATGTTACTACACACTTCTGGAGCAGATGAAATCTGAATCCAGATCTCCTAGCCCAGAGGTTGGGATACTACTACTGTGCCATAAGAGCCCTCCAGACCTGTTTTATTTTGTTTCTTTTGTTATCAACCTGCTCATCAATGTTATTACACACCTCTGGAACAGGTGGGTCTTGAACCCAGGCCTCTTAGTTCAGAGATGGGGTCACTGTGCTACGAGAGCCTGCCGACCATTTTTTAAAGGGCTCAGGTGATGAGTTTCAGTTGGGCAGGCCATTGCCTGCTACCAGGGAACTCATTCTCAAAGAGCTTCAAGCGAAGATTAATCAGTGATTCTCCATAAGCCTTGTAGGGGGTTAGTACAGGGTGCATCCACAGTGCTGTTACGGGAAATTCCAGGATTTTGACCCAATGACAATGAAGGAGTGGCGATGTGGTTATGAATTAAGATGGTGTGTGGCTTGGAAGTGGTGGTGTTCCCATGCATCTGCTGTCCTTGTCTTTGTAGGTGGCAGAGGTCACAGATTTGGAAAGTGCTGTCAAAAGAGCCTGGGTGAGTTACTGCAGTGCATCTTATAAATGCTACAGTCTGCTACTGTGGTAGGTGGTGTAGAGAGTAAATGTGGAAGGTGGTGAATAGGATGCCAATCAAGTGGCCTGCTTTGTTCTGGATGGCATTGAGCTTTTGAGTGTTGTTGGAGCTGCATCCATCTAGGCAAATGGAGAGAATTTCATCACACTCCTGACTTGTTCCTTGGACAGGCACTGAGGTGTTACTCACCACATAATTTCCAGTTTCTGACCTATTTACAGTACCCACAGTATTTATGTAGCCAGTCCAGTTTATTTTCTCATCAATGGTAATCCTCCAGGATGTTGATAGTGGGAGATTCAGCAATAGTAATGCCTTTGACCAGCAAGTGACAATGGTTAGATTCTTTCTTGTTTGAGTCAGTCGTTGCTTGGTGTTTGTGTGGTGCAATTCATACTTGCCATTTATCAGCCCAAGCCTGACTGTTGTCCAGATTGTGCTGCACATGAACACGAGCTGCTTCAGTATCTGAGGAGTCGTGAATGGTGCTAATGATTGTGCAATCATCAGTGAACATCCCTAATGCTGCCTTCACGATGGAGGGAAGGTCATTGAAGCAGCTGAAGATGATCGGGCTTAGGACACTACCCTGTGGAACACCTGTGGAGATGTCCTGGAGCTGAGGTGATTGATCTCCAACAACCAGAACCATCTTCTGTTGTGCTAGGTATGACTCTAACCAGTGCAGAGTTCCCCTGATTCCCATTGATTCTAGATTTGCCACAGTTTGATGTCAAGGACAGTCACTGTCACCACACCTCTGAAGTTCAGCAGTTTTGACCTTGTTTGGACCGAGACTGTAAAGAAATCAGGAGCTGGGTGGTCCTGCCAGAACCCAAACTGAGTGTCACTGAGCAGATTATTGTTGAGCAAGTGCTGTTTGATGCCAGTATTGACGACCCTTTCCAACACTTAGCTGTTGATTATGAGTGGACTGATAGAGCAGTAAGTGGTTGGTTAGATTTGTCCTTTTTTAGCGGACAGGACTCAGCTGGGAAATTTTTCACATTGTTGGATAGCTGCCAGTGTTGTAACCATTCTAAAACAACTTGGCTAGTAGCATGGCTAGTTCTAGAGCACAACTCTTCAGCATGATTGCTGGAATGTTGTCAGAGTGCATACCTTTTCAGTATCTGGTGGCTTTACACTTTATTGATGTTGCATAGAATGAATTGAATTGGTTGATTGCTGGAAACCTCAGAAGAAGGCTGAGTTGCATCATCCAGTCAGCATTTCTGGCTGACGATGGATGCAAATGCATCAGCTTTGTCTATTGCACTGAAGTGTCAGGCTCTCCTATTAATGAGGACATTTGTGAAGCCGCCTCAAAAATTTTAATTAGCTGCTGCTATTCACTAGGTTAGATCAGATTATACTGTGTGTTAGTTGCACAAAGTAAACTGTCAAAGGTCAATTTTTATAAGGACAGAGATTCATACTCTGTCATCAAAGATCCAGGCACAGATGTTGAATTTCATGCATACTGTCTAAATTTCAGGTCCTCCCAAACTCTGTTCACCGTAAAAACCGAAATAATTGTGGATGCTGTAAATCAGAAACAAAAGCAGAAATTGCTGGAGATACTCAGCAGGTCTGACAGCATCTGTTGAGAGAGAATTGGGGAGGTTTTCAGGAAGGGTCACTCAAACTGAAACATTAACTCGGATTTCTGTCCACAGATGCTGCCAGACCTGCTGAGCTTTTTCAGCTATCTCTGTTCTCCATATCCTATCTAGCACAAAATTTGTCACCTCTCTTCTCAATATTCTACATTATTTCCGTTCCACCAACAACTAGAATTCACAATCTTTATCCTCAATTTTAAATCTTCTCATGGTTTTACTCTGAAATGTGTTCATACCATGAAACCTCCCACACAATTCTCCATTCCTCCAATGCTAACAATTTGTGTGACACCCCTCCAGAGAGCTAGGTGCAGTTTACAAGGTTTTCATTAGATAAGTAAGCCTTAAAGTTGCCTCTGATCATCAATTTTATTATTGTACCTATTGCTGATGCACAGCCAATGAATGTCTAGTTTGTCAGTCGAGCATGAAAATATACTGTTTAGAGTAAACAGAGACTTAGAATTGCGGGTTAACTCGTGTTCCGTTCCTATTGTAATTGGGATGCAAGTGATGATTAGAATGAATTTAACCCAGCCAAAACCTATTCCATTACAGTTAACGAAAATCAAGCACAATAACTCACTTTGGACCTTCAGTAATTGCTGTCTGGTTGTTATAACTGAAATTATCATATTATCTCAAGAGAAACAGCAAAAGTCACACTTGAACATTGCAATCATACTTGCTGAGAATCTCACTGTGGAATATTTGTCTCATAGAAAGTAGCATTAAAACACAATACTGAATGCAAGCTAAACCCTGCTTCATTAGAGCTGTTTTACCTTTTTATTATTCTGTATTTCAGTTCCAAGGTTGGGAAGTCAGGTATCAACTGAAACCTTGGTTGATTTTTATAAGTAAAATATCTAACTATTGTAATGGTTCTTCAGTCTCTGCTTTTTCTAGATTCTTTCAAACATTATCCCCTTTCATTCTTTGTAGGGATTGGATATGCAATCTGTATAGTAGCACTATATGTTTCCTTTTACTACAATACCATTATCGCCTGGGCTTTGTACTACCTCTACTCATCATTTACTTCTGAGCTCCCATGGACCAGCTGTAACAATAAATGGAATACTCAGAACTGCACCAAATACTTTGTAAAAGATAACATCACCTGGACCAAGTACTCCACCTCTCCTGCAGAAGAGTTTTACATGTAAGTGCATGTAACTGCATCCTGTGCTTCGGGCAAGAAAACTCAGCCAGGTTAAGTATCTGGCTTGCCAGTCTGTTTCAGGAAGCTGGAGTGTTGATAGAAAAAAAATACTTCCAACTTTATGCCACCCAATGACTCTTGGCAGAGTCTGCCTGAATCATTGTCACTTAAAAAGCAAAACTGCAAAATCCATTTGTCAATGCTTGATCAAGGTACTATTGTCAGTCCATTTTGATTTCCATTGTTGTCAGCGCAGTCATGATGAGCTAAATGGCCTCCTACTGAGCTGTATTGTTCTGGGAATATCCCAATAGACAGGGAGTAGCACATGTGTGATAATTTATGGTGGTACTAACAGAGCAGAGTGTTTGGGATACTAGCTATTCACCTGGACTTTTTTCAAAGCAACAAAAAGTCAGCATTTTCTGCAGTGGAGGAAGGAAATTTAGTGCCATTGTCTCCTTCAGTAAAGGAACAGCCAAGCCAATATCATTAAGTGTGTCCTATCAGATTACCTTTAATGTGTATTTTATTCCACTCTGCAGTCCAACCCATCACAGCTGTTCTTTACAATCATCATCCGCTTCTTCATAAACTGTCGATGCATTGCTCACATAGTGTGATGTATGATTGTGATGTATTTCATAAGGATATACATAAATGAAATCCACAAGCTTCTATATGAAAATAGGAAATCTCATAAAATCATCACTGAAGCATTCAGTTCCTCAGTTAATTAAAAGTATTTTTTTTGTTGGTGATTAATTGTCTACATGCACTTGGGTCAGAATTGCTTTCATGTGCACTTTTGGCTGTTGCCCAATTCTGACCTTCATTTTATTTCACTTTGGCACTGTTTTGGCTTTATCCGATTACAGTTCCTTGTACAATAGTGATGTTGTTTATTGATTTTTCAATCTCTCATGTGAATAGTTATACATAAATCTGTGTTGCCATCACTAAGGAAGGTTTCTCCCTCTTTCTTCTACCAGTTTCTCACACTAACAAGTGGCAGAGTCATTACTCCCTTCCTGCATTCCAAAACTTAATGTGGCTTAACTAAGAACATTTTCCATCTTAAAGTTGAGAAAATATGTTAGATCCTGGCTGTGAAAATATGTTACTGCACTTAGATATGTGCATATTTGCGCCTAGAAAAGTCTCATTTGATGAAATATGTGGATGTATTTTAATAAAAACACTCAAAAGAGGACTTTTTAAAAAAAAAACATGATGACCAAGTCAACAGTGCAGCAAAAGTAGGTAGGGATACAGAGAAGGCCAGATTTAGAACAACCTGAGCTCGAACGTAGAGCTGGGGAAGATTTATGGAGGATATGCTAAGATCATGGAGCTATTTCAAAACAAGAACGAGAAATTTGAAAGCAACTCACTAGAGGACAGAGAGCCAGTGCAGGTTGGTGTGGACGCTTCCATCAACGATGTTATTGTACCCTGTATTTAAAAAAAAAAATTAGGAAAAGTAAAAGGGACTCCATGTTAGGGTTCTGCAAAAAACAAATCAGCTAAAAGTCTAGCTGATGCTGAAATTCACCTTGAGCAACAGCACAAAGAAGGCTGTAGCCATGTTGAAATCTGTTTTACACCCTGCCTAATTTCCTGTTCCAATGTCAGTTGCTTTCCTGAGGACATTAGTGAACTAGATGGATTTTTACAACCATAGTTGCCATCAGACCACCTTTTAATTCCAGATTTTATTTGATGCAAATCTCACCATTTTAGGCTGGTTGGTAAGATGGCTGGTTTGCAATGCAGAGTGATGCCACACAGCATGGGTTTAATTCCTGCACTTGCTGAGGCTTCCATAAAGGTCCAACATTCTTAACCTTGCCCCTAACCTGAGGCATGGTGACCCTCAGGTTAAACTCATCAATAGCCTAATGAAAGAGCAGCCCTATAGTCCTCTGTCACTATGATAACTTTTCCTTCATCACTTGTGAAGTCAACATTTGTTGCCCATCTTTAATTGCCTTGTGGAAGAAGGGGAATGAGAGATTGTAAGGAAACAAAATCACCCAGGGAACTTTGAGACTAAAAGAAATCAATGATGCATTTTTTATGCAAATTGACATCTGAAAATATCGCTGTAATCTGTGACATTTATTTTCATTGCAGTCGCCAAGTACTTCAGGTTAACAAATCAAACGGATTGGATGACCTGGGTGGCATCAGCTGGCAGTTAGCACTTTGTCTCTTCTTTATATTTGTTGTGGTGTATTTTAGTATTTGGAAAGGTGTAAAGACTTCTGGAAAGGTAGGTGGACCTAAATCATATTGAAAAAGAGACTGTGTGTGTGTGTTTGTCGATCTAGCATTTTTTATACTTTCACAGGTTAAAAGGTCAACATTTATTGCACATCTCTAATTATCCTTCAGAAGTTTGTGCTGAGCCTCCCTGCTATAGTCCATCTAATACATGTACACTCACTGTGCTGTTCAGAAAGGAAACCGTCCAGGCAATAGGTGGGACCCATTACTATGTTTATAAATCAAATGTAGAGTATTAGACTGAATAATTAGACACAGGACTAGCAATTGAAGAAGATCAATTATTGCTTTTAATGAGTTAATGATTCTTGGTAAAGTTATGTAGACCATTCCAATAATTTATTTTGGTAAAATTTTGCGGTTAGTAGCTGCATTTTAATTCTTACGAGTTACAATTTTCACAGCAGACATAGACATGAACAGCCAATCTTATGCAGATTTTAAAAAGTATCAAAAAGTCATTCATTTTCTTGAGTGGAGCAAATGAAATTTGCCAAGAGCATAATATCATCTCTGGACAAGATATGAAAATTGTTATTAAGCAGTTATTGTTATCAATAAACTCAGAACATTTATAAAAGGGATTCAGCCCAAGAGAGAGAATAGTTGTAGCCACTCTCTCACAGGTTCTTCTTTCTACTGCTGCCAGAATATCTCATGTCTCTGCTTTTCAGACATTTCTTACTCCCTAAGTGGTGTCATTTTCTTGCCTGTGATCGGGTTTGATAGAATCAGGACTTTTAAGTTCTAAACATCTAATTCTAAATGTACGATTTCAGTTGTGACATCTCTCTGGAAGAGGTCCAAAGTGCACTCGTTATGGTCATACTGTTTTGTGGAGATCAACTCCTCCATTGATTCTCTGACAATTCTAGTCTCCATTTGTCACTTATTAAATTATGCACTGATCCAGTTCTACAACATATTTGACTGTGCTTCCACTAAATTCATGTCAAGGTTACAAATGACCAGGGATCTTGGCTGTTCGCACCAATAATTAGGCTCAGCCAAAACAATCTTGGTTGAGTTTTGAATAATCTCATCCTTTTGTCTTTGAAATTGCTGTTTTTTTGGCCAAAGGCATGAGTTCTATCTCCAGAGAAACAAAATGTAACCATGTACAAATGATCCCACAATAACTGTAATTTAATACATCTGTTGAAATTTCATGAAAAAAGTTAAAAATTAAAACTCATTTTACCTCATCTCATCTAAGATAGAACTTGCACTTTGCTTCCATTGCCAAGGTTTGAATCCCTTTTCCAAGTTTAATACTCTAATTTCTATTCCTAACTTTATTGAGTCCTAGGAGTTCTCTTCTGTACGTACCACGAGTTGATATTTATGATGCTTGCATTCACCTCATTAACAATTGTTTTAATACTGAACTTCTGAATCATTTTATTGTGTTTCAAACTATTTTATCACTAGGCTTGTAATTGTAATTAAAAATATTGCAAAATTTCCAATTTTAAGTTCACTTCCTTGGGCTATTCCAGGTCTTTTAAAAAACTCTCGCAATGGCTACACAAATATCTCTCGTAAACTTAAGAGGCTGGGTATGCACTGTATGTTATGCATTTTTTATTGGAACATTATTAATTGCAGAGTTGATGAGTTCTTGTGATTCACATTTTAGCACCTAAAAGAGTCTGATTCACAATTGACAATGGGAAAACAAAAATACTTGCATTCACAAGGTGTCATTCATGACCTCCAGAATCTCTCAAATGCAGAAGTGCTAAAAAGCTGGGATATTTTCCTGGTGCTTGCCATTGTCCAATGAATGGAGGAGGGTGAACTTGCACCACACAAAGACATGGACACAGGATGGGGTTACAAATTTTGAGGATAATTTCTGGTGAAGCCCACACAGACGGTTGCACTAGATATTATTCTAGTGGCATCAGTACCCACAATTCATTGGACAATGGGAAACACACCAGTTTCAGAAGGTGCCAGCAGTGGACAACTTTAGCAGTAGGTGCAGGAGTGAACCAAACATCCCCTTCAACTTGCTGCACAATTTAGTATCAGTAAAGTTGATCTTTTGCTGCTACTCCACTTTCGTAACTGTCCCTCACTTTCCTTGTTTCCCTGAGGAACCAAAAAAAAATCTGTCCATCTCAGCCCCAAGTGCCTTCAACAATGGAGAATCCAAAACACTTGAGGTAGAGAATTTGAAAGATTCACAACCCTTTGAGTCAGGAAATACCTCCTCGTCACAGTGTAAGATACTCAGTCCCTTGTTCTGAGATAGTGCACCCATGTTATATATTCTCCCAGGTAGGGCAATCAACTGCTGGATGTCTAATAGTTTCAGAATTTTGTATGTTTAATCAGATACTTGCATTCAACACTTGTGATTCTTTTTAAATTCCAGAGAATATAGGCCTCAACTCTTCATCATAGGTCAACCCCTAATCCAGGCACCAATGTACTGGAGCCAAACTAGTGGAGCTAGTGGGTGGCACAGTGGCTCAGCGGTTAGCACTGCTGCCTCACAGCACCAGGGACCTGGGTTTGAGTCCAGCCTTGGATGACTGTCTGTGTGGAGCTTGCATGGTCTCCCTGTGTCTCTGTGGGTTTCCTTCAGGTGCTCCAGTTTCCTTCCACAGTCCAAGGCTGTGCAGGTTAGCTGAATTGGTCATGGTTACAGGGATAGGGTGGAGGTCCGGGTGGGATGCTGTTCAGAGGGTTGTGTAGATTTGATGGGCAGAATGGTGTCTTTCTGCATTTTAGGGATTCTATGATCCTAGCTGTGCTGACAATAAGACAGTGTTTTTCCTCTTAAATATGGAAACCAAATTATGCACAGTAATGCAGGGATGTCCTCATCAAAGATCCGTACAACTACAGGAGGGCTTCTTATTGTACTCCAGCCCCCTCCCAGTAAAAGCCAACATGTCCTTTGCTTCCTAATTGCTTGCTGTACCTGTGTGTTAATTTTCTGTGTTCCTAGTATGTGTAAACTCAAGTCTCTCCAGACATCAATATTTACAAGTTCCACTTTTAAAAGGCATTCTGCTTTTCTTTCTTACTACCAATGCGAATAGCATAACACTTCAAACATTTGCCATCTTCTTGCAGGCTTATTTAACTCATCTATATCTCTTTACGGCCTCTTCGCATCTTCCTCACAACATCCATTCCTACCTGACTTTGTATCTTTAAAACTTGGATAGATTACTTTCAGTTTCTTTGCCTAAGTCATTAAGGTATGTTGTAAATAAATGAGACCCAGCACAAAGCCTTGTGACACTCTAGTCATTACAAGCTGATAAATTGAAAATGTCCCATTTATATCTACTCTTTGTTTCTAGGACATTAACTAATCCTACATCCATGGTAAAATATTACCCTCAACTCTACAACCCGTTGCCTTGCATATAATCTTTTAGTGTGACACCTTAGTGATTGGCTTTTTAAAATCCAAGTGTAATACATCCACTGGTTCCCCTTTATCTTATTCTATTCAGTAAATCTTCAAAACCTTTAATAAACTTGCCAAGAACAATTTCTTTCGTAAAACTGTTTGCTTTGTTTGATCATGCTAAGGTTTTCTGAATACTTAGTTAAGACTTCCTTAATAAACGATTCCAGCATTTTCTTGATGACTGATGTCAGATCAGCTGGCAATTTTCTCTTAGATTCCTTTCTCAGATTCCAGTCTAGAATCCAAGAAATTTTGGAAAATCGTAACCAGCACATCCTGTATCTCTGCAGCAATCCCAGTTAGAATTCTTGGATGTAGGCCATTAAAGTTCTGTGTGCTGGTCAGATTTTAGCTCCTTGAGATTCTCTACATTAATGCATTTTTAAAATTGTTCTTAACTACATTATGAATCCCTTACTTTTATTTAGCTCCTTGGTTAACCTGTGTGTAATGTGCATGAATTTATGTGAATTCAGACACAATATATTATTGTATGTCATGGCTGTTTCCTTATTCCCTGCACCAAAATTTCTCCAGGTTTTGCCGTTAAGGGACCAATGTTTTCTTAAATTCTACTCTTTTTAAGCACTTATTAAACCTCATTGACCATGATGATCTCTTAAAGTTCTTACAATCGGTTTTCATCTTCCGAGCTAGCTTACTCTTGCATTCTATTTTCTTCATTTTCACCGGTTTAGAAATACTCCTGATCCTCTGTTTTAACACGGGTCTTTGCAACATTAAGCCTTTGCTTTCAATATAACACTATCCTTAACTTGCTTAGTAGGTGGATCTCTCTTGCTTTCTTTTTGGTTTTTCATGAAATACATTTTAGTTGAACATTTTTAATTGTTTCTTTAAATATTTCCCATTATTTCTTTATCACTATATATTTTAGTTTATTTACCCAACCAACCTTAACCAGCTCCCTTCTCATACTGTGTTATCTGCTGTGCTTTAAGTTTCAGAATTTTGCTTAGGACCAGTGTATCTTGCTGTTGTACTTAGACTGCATATTGCTGTATGTTGATCACGTTTCTCAGCGGTTTTTACTATGAGATTACTAATTAACACTGCTTCACTGCACAATACTCAATTCAAAGTAACTCTTTTCCTAATTGATTCCTTTATGTATTGTTCCAGAAGACATTCTACAAATCCATCTTCTAGCCTACCTCTGCCAATTTGATTGGTGCCTTGTATATTTAAAACACTTTACAATTGTTCCATTGCTTTTGTTACAGTTTCAATTATTTCTTGCTTAACGTACAGTTCACCAGTTACTACTGTTAGGTGGCTTAAGAGCTTACATTTTCCTTTTTTTCGAATGTTGATTCTACTTCCTAGTCTTCTGAGCCAAAAACCTTTCCAACTAATGTCCCAATGCCATTCTTTACTATTAGGGCTACTCCTCCTTTTTCACTCTGTCTTTTCAAAATTATTCTTTATTCTGTAATCGGTACTTCTCAACTATGGTCTCCTTGTAACCATGGTTTTACATTTATCAGGGTATTTAGAGTGAGTTTGGAGGTAGAGTGGGTGAGGGACCAATAGGAGGACAGGGTGTGCAGGCCAGAGACGAAGAGCATATCAAAAGATACGAACCCTGAAAAACCAATCTCCAGGAAAGAGTGTAGCCCTCCCAGAGGCTGAACCTTTTACAAATCTCCATGTATTGAGGTTAGTGAAGATTGCACTCTAGGGAGGCCATTCCCAATCTCTGTTCCCAATCTGTGCTAACCCCGATCTCCATTCCCAATCTGTGCCAACCCAATCTCCATCTCCAATTTCTGCACTGTGCTGGAGGACAAGCTGAGACCCATTGGATCTGGTGGACACCCAATGGCAGTGGTGCTGAAGATCACTGTGGCTATCAACTTCTGTGGCTGTGTCTATGAATGCATTGGAGATTTTCTTTTGGAACGTCCCAGTTTGCAGAACATTGATACGTCAAGGAGGTGACTATTGCTGTGTTCAAGATGATAAGCAATGCCACAGCAATTTGGAAAGTCAGGCAGAGAGGCCCATTGGCTTTGGGACTGTCACTGGATCCAATCAAGTGCAAGTTGTCATTGACTGAATGCACATGACTATCAAAGCTCCCATGGACCTGACAGGGCCTTTATTAACAGGAAGGGCTTCTATCCCAGCAACTGGTCTGCTCTGGCAGGAGTGTGACCATTCAGAAAGGACGATCATAACATCATAACATAACATGCCAACATGTATGTTGGCAGCCCCAAGTTGGTCAGCCCCAGGGCAGCTTCTCCAATCCCTTGCACACTTTCAGGGTTGAATACATGGAAATCAGAGATCAAATAAAGACATGGCTATTCCTGCCTGTGAAAGTCCACATGGATGCATGCAGGAGGTACGATACCCACCATAGTCCAGCTTGAGTGAGCAGTCCATTGGCCTTGGGGCTTCTGAAGTTGTGATTCAGGAGCCTAGATCAATCTGTTGGAGTGCGTCATGCCTCAGTGTAGGTTTCCTGAATTAAGATGGTCTGCTGTGTGCTGAACAACCTCAGAACATCATCACAATTTTGCCTCCGACATTGACAATATGCAGGAGTCAGCTGGCCAGTCTGAATGAGGGATCTTTGGACCAGAGGCTGTGTACGTTGAGATATATGTAAACCAACTTAAGGACATCCTGGTTCCTGTGACCTTTTGGCCTTTACAGAAAGATTCCAATAACACCTTACCTGTTTTCACTTCTGCTGATGCATCCTTCATTTTGCCCTGCATCGCCCAGTGCCTGGGTGCACAATCTCAAAGCTGAGGAACTGGATGGTCACACCACATTCGACCCCTTCCAGGCCGTTGTAGGAACAAGGTTGTTTTGTGGGTAAGAACACTCAAAGGAGAAAGCAGTTGAAGAAACAGTAAGAATGAGTGAAAGACCTAACAGAAACAAGGCTTACTGTTTCCAGATAATAATAATCAGCAGTCAACTTGAAGTGAAGCTATGTGTTTCTCCTGGCTGGTGGAGAATTCAAGCTGCTGTCATTTTGCATTTGGTGTGTTGAGCTCATAGATAAGGCTGTTGGAATGCAGAGTTCTGTGCAGCTCTGGCATCCACTGAGTGAGAGCTGGAGCAGGTTTTCCATGGTAGTCACTAACCTCTTGAAGTTAGAAATCGTATACATGCACACACCTGACTTAGGGCTTGGTTGGTCTCTTCGTGATCTGTGCATGGATGTACATAACCTCTGGAAGCTCCACCAATGTTCCACTGCCTCTCGCTGCAGCAGTTGTCATGTTGTAGCTGACTCCAACGACACGCCACCAGCCTGTAGCTCAGAATGGGCCTGGCCTCCCACAGACTTTGTGCATTCAGATAAAGAGATTACCCATGGGGCTGGGATTGCTGTCTCTCAGACTTGCAACCATGCTGTCTTTTCCCAGACACAGGGTTCTAGAGAATTGTTGACCATTTGTAAGCCCAAATATTCCAGATATACATTTAATTTTGAGCTGTATTATCTATTACTGTTTTAAAGACACTTTTAAAGTGAAGAGTACCCAGGAAAGTGGTGTGGTGTGCAATTTTCAATCACCAATGTGCTGGGTCATGGTTGATATAGATTGGAGGGCAAGGGTTGAAATAATTAAATATAGATTTTTTTATCTCCAGTTTATTAAGGTCCCGAGCTCCTTTAGCACTGCTGGAGGAAAATGAAACCAGAAAAGAGTCATCCTGGATTATTCATTGACATTATATTGGATGGTCAGTGACACTGTAAATACCTTGTTAATTTAACCAGTGCAGATTGTACAAGGAGACATTGATTCAAATGAAGAGAGACAGCTGCAGGCCTGGTAACATAAGGTCCTTTCCACACTTGGACTGAATGGGGCAGATACAGTATTGAGAAATCGTTTCTCAAATGTTTACTCACAATGCTGAATGGAAATGATGGGTTTATCTGGATGAATGAATGAACCAGTAGGCTTTTCATTGTTAGTCAGCTCCTCCTGGCAGCCAGTTCAGAGTGGCACTAGAGCTCCTGGACAGGGCATGTTGCTTTGCCTATGACTGGTGTCCTGACCTGGTCCCTGGTGGAGTTGAGAAGTTCCTTCCAGGAGATGACCACAGCCAAATGTTTATACCTGCTGTCCGCAGCGGAGCAAGATTCATGAGGCCACTCATGCGGCTTTAAAATTTAACTTGTGCCGTGCAGAGCTGCCCTTGTTCTTCTTCCAACCTGGGGCAACATGGATTGCAGCCTGAATCTGCACTGAAGCGTGTAATTGCAGAGCTCTGAATCTCAGGAACCTTGTTCCCCAGCAGAATAAAGCACCACCGCAGTTTTTAAACTGACATGCACTAGCGTCATCATGTCATAAATTACTCAGGTTGGTTTGGCACCTTTGCAGCAGTTAGTCTGCTTATTGCAAATATCTCTGGAGCACACAGAATGCATGTTTATTTTAATTTTTAAAATTGCCTAAGTTGTTATTTCTTGTATAGGTTGTGTGGGTGACAGCCACTCTCCCCTATGTTGTACTGTTTATTCTCCTGATACGAGGTGCCACTCTACCTGGAGCCTGGAGAGGACTGCTCTTCTACCTTAAACCTGAATGGAACAAACTGCTTACCACCCAGGTGAGTCAACCAGAACCACAGTGGCCCTTGCTTTAATACTGGTGACTTAACTCATTTCAGATCCTCTGGGACCTACCAGGCAGCCAAAGTATGTCAAAATCTCAATAGTTTAACACTCTAAGTGCTGTCAAAATACTATGAAATTAGCAGAACAGTACTTGTACAATACCATTGTAGGACCGCATGACACTGACAGGGAATTGTATCAAGTTTTTTTAGTGAAAGGGACATATGCAGTGTGCACCGTATCCAATTGTGGTGTTATTGTAGCCTGCCCCATTAAAGGAATAAAGTAAAATGGCCTGCTCTCAAAGCCACTTTGCCTCCTCCATCTCTCTGTGTTTTCTTTCATGCCACAAGGATCTGCAGTGTGGCTTCTTCACCCTCCCTGGTGCTAAATGCAAATGGGTAAACCTCATACGTGAAACTGAGGTGATGTGACAGTGGAGGATGAGATCACTGAGCTAGCTAGCCATGGGGATAGGTCTTGCTACAAAACTGGAGTGAAAACTCTAGGCTGACAATTTAGTGTGCTACTGAAGGAATGTTGTGTCCCTGGAGATGCCTTTTCTTTAACCATAGTCACTTAGTATTACCGAATTTGAGCTCCGCTGAGTAAAGAAACAGCTAATGAAGCTTTTCACCTTGCACTCATCAGGACAAATGTAAGAATGTCAAATTTCAAAGGAAATAATAATTTATACTGCATGAGAAATAGAAGTTTATAAAATCATGAGGGGCATTGATAAGGTGAATTGCAAAGACTCTTTTCCGTAGGGTGGGGGAATTTGAAACTAGAGTGTTTTAAGGTGAGAGGAGAAAGCTTTAAAAGGGACCTGAGGGGCAATTTTTTTCACATAGACAGTGGTTCATATATGGAATGAATTGCCAGAGGAAGTGATAGAAGCAAGTCCAGGTACAACTTTTAAAAGACATTTGGACAGGCAGACAAATAGGAAATGATTAGAGAGATATAGGCCAAATGCAGGAAGGTGAGACCAGTTTAGTTGGGAAACTTGTTTGGCATGGACGAGTTGGACGGAAGGGTCTGTTTCCATGCTGTATGGCCTAATGACACTAAAAACATTGCTGATTGGTGGACAAGTGAACTCTGATTATTAACACATTGCCGTGACAACATCTCAAACTATCAGGATCCATCAGAGAAGATGATGGCATAGTGGTAATATCACTGGTAATGTAGGCTAACCCAGTGGACATGAGTTCAAATCTCAGTTAAAGTTTACTTTATGCATCTGAAATTGCAAGCTAGTTTCCATAATTATAATGACTGTCATCTACCATTACTTGTTGTAAAACCTCATGTGGTTCACTGATATCCTTCAGGGAAGGAAATTACTGTCCTTAGCAGGTCTGGGATATATATGACTCTAGATCCACAGTGTATGATCACTCTTAACTGCCTTCTGAAATGGACAAGCTAGCAACTCAGTCAAAGGCAGTCAGAGAAAGGCATCAAAATGCTGGCCTTGCCTGTGATGTCAACATGTCATGAAAGAATTTTTAAAAATGCTGCACAATCAGCTTGCTATTGTGCATGCAGTCTAAATTGCTGTTCCCTTTGAAATTTGATATTCTTGCATCTGTCCTGACGAGTGCAAGACTAAATTTTCAACAGCATGTCTCTATATATCTTCCATTAATTTTGTAGATTTTTGCCTGACCATCTTATAGAAAATAATGAATATTAAATAAGTGGAGAGGCTTGTTGGAGAATTAAAGAATCTAAAGGTTGAATATTTACAAAGATGATATTCAATCCTTGCAAGTGAATATACAAAGATCTCCCAAACAGCACGAAACATGCACCTCATCAGGCATGATATACACAGAGCATACATACTCAGAAAACCACTAGGAATGAGAGCCAGAGAGCCCTCACTAGGCTGTTAAAGTGAAATTATTTCTAAAATTCCATGCAACATCCAACCCCAGCTGTATACTTTTGCAGTTTATTGATCAGCATTTATTTAAATTCATCTTCTGTCCTGCAAACCACAAGTTAGCATTTCTACTTGGTTATGCTAGATTCGTCTGATGTAATTTAATTGAAGTTGACCCAACCTGCACTAAAGATTGAAGGATTTTAAGCACTTATGAGGTTTGACACAAATCAGGTGTCCACGATCTCATACATTACTTTCAAAACCATTGTGCTAGGCTCCAGCCCTTCCCACAAAACTGCCCACGCCCCCAGAATGAATTAATCTACAATGGGAGTCTTTGTTATTGGCATTCATCCACAGGAGTTTGGAAAGGCAGAAAAGTAAATTTTTTTTTGGTTGCAAGGAGGCCAATAGAAGTTTTTTTTTAAAAGAAATGTTTGCATTTTATGAAATTTACGAAGTAACTAGTATAAGTAGGATACAGTTCTGTATATTTTGAAATCTCTTCCAGGGCCTTTTCGAATCAGGGTACAGTGGTGGATTGATTAAGTATCATTTCAACCTCATTAATCAAACTGCTACAGGCTACCTGAAGAATACCGAGGAATATTTTTGAAAGCAATTTTTAAAAAGAAACATTCTTAATTCATGGGTCATGGCAGCTTTTGTATTCAGTAATATGTAAATGAGTTTGAGTGGAAACACAAGAAAAAATAACATATCTCAAAATGGGCGCAATTTGGAACATTAGGGTGGCGTGGTGGCTCAGTGGTTAGCACTGCAACCTCACTGCACCAGGGATCTGGATTCAATTCCAGCCTTAGGTCACAGTCTGTGTAAAGTTTGCATGTTTCCTCCCACAGTCCAAAGATGTGCAGGTTAGGCATGTCCAGAGATGTGTAGGCTAGATGGGTTAGCCTTGGTTAAAAAACCCCATGCAGGGATATGGTGTGGGACTGGGAAGGAGGGTTGGTGTAGACTTGATGAGCCAAATGGCCTCTTTCTGCAATGTGTAAGGATTCTATAATTAGTGGCCAGATCATTATCAGTGCCTAAAGATGAAACTTTGCTACCAAGTACCTAAGCAGTTCAGTATGTTTTTAAAGGTAAGTAAATGATAGGCTTTAGTGTAATAGCTTGGCTGATGTCTGCCACTAAAATATACAACAGTATTGTAATAGAATATCTTCCTTTTGTTTATTCTGTTCACTGTGGCATCTTCTGTAAGAAATCTGAGGAATACAGCACTCATTCAATACTGCACTGAAATGTCAGCCTAGACTGCGTTCAGCTCTTTGAGCGAAGCTGCACTTCATGTAGATGTTGAGATTAATTCCATTGACCAAAGCTATCACTAGCTTTTTACACTACACCTGTATCCATTAGTCAAAGACAGTTTCATCAAGTCATAGAACAATGGAGGAAACCACCAATGTTTGTTTACTTATTTGTTCTTTACAATATGCAAATGTTTATCATTTCCTCTAATTCAACAAAACCTGGCAGCTACATAACTGCTGTTATTATCTATTCAAGATTGATAGTTCAGTTTTCACGTTTATTAAATGTGAACAGTTACTGAGCTTGATGACTGTATTTTCCAACTCAAAGTATGAGAGAGTTCAGAGGCATTTTGTTCCTGTTATAGAGTGAAAGGTACAGCTGGTAAGATTAAGGAACAATGGATGAATAAAGATATTGAGGTTCTAGTCAAGAATAAAAGAGAATCTTCTTTCAGATATAGTTAACTTGGTTCAATTGAATCTCTTAATCAATATATAGAGTATAGGGGCATTCTTAAGAGAGAAATCAGGAAGGCAAAGAGAGGATATGAGATAGCATTGACACTTAAGGTTAAGAAGAATCCAAAGAGATTCTACAATACATTAAAATCAACAGGGTAACTAGAGAGAAGGTAGCGCCTCTTAAAGATCAAGGAGGTTGTCTTTGTGTTGAACCCCATGAGTTGATACTAAATGAATATTTCATGTCAGTTTTTACTGTGGAGGAAGAAATGGAGTCTAGAGAATGTAGAGAAATACATTTTGATGTTTTAAAGGCAGTTCACATTACAGAAGAAGATGTTTGGGAGGTCTTAGAGAATATAAAGGTGGATAAATCTCTGAGACCTGATCTAATATATCCCAGAATGTTGTGGGAAGTAAGAGAGGAAATTCTGAGACCCCTTGCAGAAATATTTGCATCATCTGTAACTATGGGTGAGGTGCCTGATGACTGGAGGATGGCTAATATTGTACCTTTGTTTAAAGAACGTTCTAAGGAGAAACTAGGGAACTGTAGACCTGTGAGTTTGACTTTGATTGTGGGTAAATTGTTGGAGGTGATGATAAAAGATAGGATTTATGGACACTTAGAGAGGCCAAAATTGATTAGTGATAGTCAGTATGGTTTTGTGCGAGGAAAGTCGTGTCTCACAAACTTGACTGAATTTTTTGAGGAAGTTACCAAAAGGATTGATGATGGCAGAGCAGTAGACATTGTTATTTGGATTTTGGTAAAGCCTTTGATAAGGTTCTGCATGGTAGACTAATTAGTAAAGTTAGGTCACATGGGATTCAGGTGAGCTTGCCAATTGGACACATAATTGGCTTAATGGCAGGAGATAGAGAGTAATGGTGGAGGGTTGCTTTTTGGACTGGAGGCCTGTGACCAGTGTGTTCCACAGGAATCAGTTCTGAGTCCTGTTTTGTTTGTCATTTATATAAATGATTTGGATGAGAATATAGAAGGCATGGTTAGTAAGTTTGTGGATGACACCAAAATTGGTGGCATTGTAGTTTGTGAAGAAAGTTTTCTAAGATTATTTAGGGATCTTTGGGTCAATGGGCTGAAAAATGGCAGATGGAGTTCAATCTAGATAGATGTGAGGTATTGCATTTTCGTACAGCAAACAAGGATAGGGCTTAAACAATTAATGGTAGGGCCTTCTAAAGTGTTGTAGAACAGAGGGATCTAGGGGTGCAGGTACATAATTCTTTGAAGTTTCCATCACATATAGACGTGATTGTTAAAAAGGCGTTTGGCACATTTGCCTTCATTGTTCTGTCATTTGTGTAAAGGAGTTGGGAAGTC